CCTCCTGTTCCTCCACCCGCGTCACCTCTTGCCAACTCCTCCTCCCCTCCTCCTCCTCCTCCTCCTCCTCCTCATCATCATCATCATCATCATCATCATCAGCAGCATCATCATCATCATCATCAGCAGCAGCAGCATCAGCATCAGCATCAGCATCATCATCAGCATCATCCCCTCTTCCCACTTCATCCACGTCCCCCCTGTGTCCAACTTCATCATACTCATGATCAACCTCCTCCTCCTTCTCCTCCTCCTTCTCCTCTTCCTCCTCATCCTCCATCATGATCAGCATCATCAGTAGCAGCATCATCAGCAGCAGCACCGTCATCATCATCATCATCATCATCATCATCAGCAGCATCATCATCATCATTACCAGTATGAGAATTATAATCGTCGTCGTCGTCATCTTGAGCAGAATCACCATCATCAGCATCATCATCATCATCATCATCACCATTATCACCATCATCATCATCACCATTATCACCATCAGCATCCTCATCGTCATCAGCATCGTCATCGTCACCAACATCATCGTCATCGCCACCACCACCACCATCATCATCATCATCAGCATCATCAGCATCATTAACAGCACGATCAGCATCAGCAGCAGCATCATCATCATCAGATCAGCATCATCATCATCAGAATCATCAACATATTCATCAGCATCAGCACCAGCATCAGCATAAGCATCGTCAGCACCACCATCATCAGCATCATCACAATCAATCATAATCGTCATTGTCGTCGACATCAGCATCAGCATCATCATCATCAACATCATTATCATCATCATCACCATAATCCTCACCCTGATCACCACCATCACGATCGTCATCATCATCACCATCATCATCAGCATCATCAACAACATCATGATCGCAATAATCAACAACCATCGTAAGCATCATCACCATCACCACCATCATCAGTACCATCATCTTAACCACAACCACAAACATCATCACCACCGCCATCATCATTACCACCACCATCATCATCATCGTCATCATCGTCGTCATCATCATCCTCATCATCCTCATCTTCATCCCCGCCCGCTTCTCACCTTCGTCTCCATCCTCGTCCTCATCTTCAGCCTCAACCGCGATCCTCTCTCCTCCTCCTCCCCCTCCTCCCCCACCGCCAGCATCACCATCCTCACCCTCACCACCATTTGCAGCACCGTCAACCTCACCAGCTGCATCACCACTGTCCTCCTCTCCCTTCAGTGGTCCCTCGGGCTCGATCTCCGCCCCTCACCCATTGCGCTCCGCCAGCACCGCGACCAGCCAATGGACCAGCGCACCCGCGCCCTGGCGCCAGCTCAGCTGGTGAGCACCGCGGCCAGAGAAGCGCGCTCGCCCGGCAGGGCCGCCTCCTCCCCCCATCCACGCGAGCAGACTCTGAGATCCGACGACGCGGAAAAAAATACAACATCGCTAAAAACCCCGACTGGGGCCAAGGACCCCGTTTCTCTGCGTCATTTGTAAGTCTGGACCGACCCGTAGTGTTCCTGAGGCCCCCTGGGTAAGCTAACAGGTAACGGCCTCTCGACGAAGAAGGGCACGGCGGGCGGGCGGCAGTGAGGGACAGAAGCGCGAAAATGAGGAAGAGAAGGAGGAGGAACAACAAGAGGTAGTGGTGGCAGTCGGGCACAGGGATAACATATCACGCGCATCACAGAAAACTTGACTCAAAGTCCTTACCGGCTTCATGGCCCCTGAAATTTCGATCCGGATCGAGCCATGATGGCCCCACGACCCAGAAACGGGCGAAAACGCCAGCGTGTGGAAAAATCGCAATGCCCAGGTCCGCAGGGTCTTTCTATCCACGCATCGAGAGGGAGATCGACTACAAAATTGACTCACCCCAAACTTGAAACTTCTGATGAATATGAATATGCAAGAAGATACGTCTCATATTCGTAGATCTCCGACCCATCCAGATGTGTGGGATCATTATACGGAAAAACCTGTACTGGGGCAATTCAATTCTGAAGACGATCTCTAACTCGAACGCGAGGGGAAGGGGAGGGAGGCCGCCTTCGGGGGAGGAATCTCCAGCAAGGGCGGGTGGTCCTCCGAGCACGCGGCCGCGAAGGCGTCGCAGTCCTCCTGGCCCTCGAACTCGAGCCCCACGGGGAACTCCAGCGGCGCGTCGCGGTACAGCACCTCGCGGCGGAGAGGATCGAGGGTCGAGGGTCCAGGATCGAGGAGGAAGGAGAGATGATGATGATGATGATGATGATGATGATGATGATGATGATGATGATGCTGATGATGGTGATGATGGTGATGATGATGATGGTGATGATGGTGATGAGGATGATGATGATGATGATGATGATGATGATGATGGTGATGATGGTGATGATGGTGATGATGGTGATGATGATGAGGATGATGAGGATGATGATGATGGTGATGATGATGATGATGATGAGGATGATGATGATGAGGATGGTGATGCTGAGTATGATGATGCTGATGATGATCATGATGATGCTACTGATGATTGATGATGCTGATGATGATGATGGTGGTGATGATGGAGATGATGATGGTGATGGTGATGATGATGATGATGATGATGATGATGATGATGATGATGATGATGATGATGGTGGTGATGATGATGACGAGGAGGAGTAGGAGAAGAAGGAGGAAGGGGAGGAGGAGGAGGAGGAGGAGGAGGACGGAGGAGGACGAAGGACTATTCGAGCGTGGGCTGACGTCTGGCCTCCACTCCGCAGGAGTGGGGGCTCCTCCTCCCTCTCCCTCCTTCTCCTTTGTCCTTTTCCTCCTCTTTTTTCTCTCCCTCCTCCCCCCTCCCTCCTCCTTCCTCCCTCCTCTGGCCGACGCCGCCTTCCGCCACAGGCGGCCCTTGGGTCCGAGGGTGGTCACGTCCCCGTAAGCCTCGGTGGGCCTTCGGACCTCCACGCTGATCAACTTCACAACGGGTCCAGTGGCCCAAGCGGCACGAGACCGCTCTAGGCGACCCCTCGTGGCGGGAGCGGTCTGCCTGAGGCACGGTCCTCCTCCGCCATGTCCCAGGACCCCTGTCCCACCGAGCCAGCCGCTAACGGCCGTGAACAGGCCACTCACGACGAATCCAGCAACAACTGCGGCGGCCCCACCAGCGCCCACGGACGGAGGCTCGCGACGCATCGGCGATCGTTCCACGACGTGTCGGCGATGCATCGGCGATGTATCGGCGACATCAACAATGCGTCGGCGACGCCACCGTGAAGGAAAACGGGCCCCATCCCGAGCCGCAGCGCTGACGCATCGGCGACGCAGCGTTCCGCCCACGGCGCGTCGGAGATGGCTCAGCCCTCTCCTGGCCGCAGTGCCCTGCTGACGAATCCCGGCGTCACGACAGGCAGCAGCCGCTTGGAGTATGGCACCACACGCCCCAAGTACCAATCCGACGTGAGCCACCGCGGCGCCAGCGAGCGCTTCTCTCACACTGGCTCACGGACCACCACCCCGTGCACCGCCGACGAGGTAATGGCGGCCACCCGACCACCTCTGCAGGTCAGCGCCGCGGCTGCCGAAGCGCCCCCCTCCACCACGCCGCCCCGAGCTGCTCCCCCCGACGGCTCGGGCGCACACGCGGCGCTGCGGGCGGCCGACACCGCCCCCCATCCGCAGACGGCCCCCGCCCAGGGGACCGAGGGTGACCACGACCCATCGGACCTCCACTCGGACCACCATCGCCTCCACTCGGATCTACGGACCACCATCGCCTCCACTCGGACCACCATCGCCTCCACTCGGACCACCATCTCCTCCACTCCGAGGGCCCTGGCGGGACTACGGACCTCCACTCGGATCGCCATCGCCTCGCACCCAGTGGCCCAAGCACCGCGGGGCCGCACCACGCGCCCCCTCGTGGCGGGAGCGGCCTGCCTCAGGCGCGGTCCTCTTCCGCCGGGCCCCCATCCCCGCCCCTGACGCTGCCTCCTCACGAGGACCCTGGGCCCCATGCGCTCAGCCCCGCCCCCTCTGCAGCGAGCGGACGAGAGCACGTCGCACTCGACGAGCCCGGCACCGCCCCTGGAGGCCCCACCAGCTCAGCGCCCACAGGGACCCCGATCAGTGTTCCACCCACAGCGCGTCGGAGACGGCTCAGCCTTCTCCTGGCCGCAGTGTCCTGTTGATGAGCCCTGGCCCTAAGGCAGCCAACATCCGCAGTACAGGGCCGCATCAGGCCGCCACTCTAAGGGGGGAAAGCCTGCCTCAGACAGCGTGCGCCGCTCGGCAAGCGTCCACTGTGGCCTGCCGCCACTGCGGGTCCTCAAGGGGTGCTGGATGGACGCCGCCACTCCCAGCGAGGCACCGTCATGCCAGAAACGGGTGCAGGCCTTGCTCAACCCCACCTGGTGAGCTCGGATTACTGCGAGGGGCAAGGTCACAGCTTCACCCGATGCTCGTTTGTGGGGGTCCCCCTCGCCCCTCCCTCTCTTTCCGCGGGATCCTGTCCCCTGGCCGTCCGCCCCAGACGGGTGTGAAGGGCCCGTTTTGGCCGACAGCACCGGCCAAAGTGCTTCGGGTGCGGCGCGCTTGCCCGCCAGCCCGAAGGCGGAACACCGCCCAGATGGTCCGATCTCCCTATCCCTCTTTCCTTCTCCCTCCCTTTCTCTCCCTCTCTCTCTCTCTTTATCTCTTTTCTTCTCTACCTCACCCTTTCCGTCAATTATTCGCCTTCCGTATCCCCCTCTCTCTCTCGTTCCCTCCCCCTCTCCTTCGTTCGCTTTTTCCCCCGCTCTCTCCTCCCCTCTCTCTCTCTCTCCCACCCTCCCTCTCTCGATTTCCCTCTCTCCCTCTCTCCCTGTCTCTCGCTCTCTCTCTCTCTCTCTTTTTCTCTCTCTCTCTCTCTCTCTCTCTCTCTCTTTCTCTCTCTCTCTCTCTCTCTCTCCCTCTTTCCCTGTTGTTTGTCTCTCTCTCTCTCTCTCTCTCTCTCGGCGCAGAGACGCGTCTTGCTCGAGGATTTCCGCGCCCGCCCGCTACCCCCCCAAAACGGCTCTGAGATGCAGGGCCCTACACCTGCAGGAGGCGCGACCGCGCGGGTGCCTCGCCGGGGCACCCCGGGCCCCGCGGGGGCCGCGGGGGGGCCGCAGGAGGAGGCCGAGGGGGCTCCGAGCCCGTCGGACATCGGCGGCTCTGGCCTCCAGCTCGCGGGGAACACCATGGCGGCACGAGCAGGTGCCCATCGGTCCGAAGAAGCAGGCAGAAACACGAAGTAGGAAGGCGTCGCAAGTAGATTGGGTTGCCGCCCGCCCCCCAAAAAAGGGCGGAAAAGGTGAGGCCACTCGATCATTGAAGTAGGAGGGCGCTTGAAGTAGGCTGGAATCTGGGAATCCAGAAAGACCTACGTTCAACGACCGATGGCTGAGCTGCCGGAGGTCCGCGCAGGACTTCTCGGATCGGCGCCGGGCCACCCTCCCTGGAGCGGAACTCCTCCTCCTCCATCTCCTCCTCCTCCTCCTCCTCCTCCTCCACCCCCACCTCCTCCTCCTCCTCCTCCTCCTCCTCCTCCTCCTCCTCCTCCTGGTCCTCCTCTTCTTCTTCTTCTTCTTCTTCTTCTTCTTCTTCTTCTTATTATTATTAAGATTCGAATGAATCGTCTTCTTCTTATTATTATTATTATTGTTATTATTCTGAATATTATTCTTATTAATATTCTGCTTATTATTATCCTTAGTATTATTATTAATATTATTATTATGAGTTGTATTAATATTGTTATTAGTATTATTAGTAGTATGATTATTATTACTATTATTAATATGATTAGTATTATTATTATTAATATTATTATTATTAGTATTATTAGTATTACTATTATTAGTATTATTAGTATTATTATTATTATTATTATGATTATTATTATTATGACTATTATTACTATTATTATTAGTATTATTATTATTAATAATATTATGATTAATATTATTATTTGTCTTCTTATTATTCTTATTATGTTTCTTCTTCTTCCTCCTCCTCCTCCTCCACCTCCACCTCCACCTCCACCTCCACCTCCTCCTCCTCCTCCTCCTCCTTCTCCTCCTCCTCATCCTCCTCCAGGGGCGGCGCCGGAGGTGCCGCTGGGGGGGCTCCAGCGCCGACCCGAGGCGCCAGCGCGGGCCTCCAGAGGTTCGTGCTCGTGCCATGCTCTGCTCCCCGCAGCTCGGCGAGGGGGGAGCAGAGGTCGGCCAGACGCAGGGGCGGCCCTGGGCAGGAGTGACCTCTCTGTGCGCGGCCTGCCGCTCTTGATGGGCCTGTCTTCCACCACCACCATGAGTTGGAGGGGGGGAGGGGGAGGACGACGAGGAGGAGGAGGAGGAGAAGGAGGAGGAGGAGGAAGCGGAGGAGGAGGAGGAGGAGGAGGAGGAGGAGGAGGAGGAGGAGGAGCGCACGTAGCTTGAGCGACGGTGACTCAGCTACTGCTGCGGGCTCTATCGACGCATTGCGGCGAGAGCGGCAGCTCGTATTTCGTAATGGTAAGTGGGCGACGCCGACCTCGTTGGGTGGGAGGCCAGGTCAGCCTTCAGCTTGTGATAGATATGGAAGCTGAGGACGACCACACGGTGGCAACGCGCACGCGGGTATTCGACTTCAGCGTCAGGCGAGGGCCCAAGCCCGAGGCGAGTGAGGGGACAGGAAGGGAGGAAGCCCCGAGGGACAGCAAGGAGGTGCAGGAGGCGAGGGCAGGAGATGTAGTGGGCAAAGTCATCAGAAGCGTCAGGACAGCCAAGGATGCAATGGCGAGGCGGCTCGCAGGGGACTCGGGCGGCTGTAGTCCAGGCCCCCGCCAGCGTTTTGATGTGGGCCCATGCCCAGGCAGGGGGGCTCCGAATGAGGATTCGTCGGAGCTCCTCCCAGCGGCAGGTGAGGTCAGCAATGGGGAGAGGAGGAGCAAGAGGAAGCCACGAGGAGATGCGACGAGCGAGAAGCGAGGGAAAGGAGTCAGGGTAGAGGGACGCATGGAGGCTCAGAGAGAGGGCACGCTGGGGCCTCGGTCGTCGGGCGGCAGCCGAGGCATCCGCTATTTCATGGCGAGCGGCAGCCTCCGCTCTGTGCCAGGCGGCACGGGCAATCCCTGTCGGACCGCCGTGCAGCACTTCCTCGAAGAATTCAACGATTGAGAGCGTGCGACGCCACACAGCGCTCGAGAGCCCTCGGGAGCCTAGGGCTTGGAGCGGTCCGTGCATTTCGGCCTGGGTCCGCAGGATCGCTAAAGCCTGGCTCCAGCCCCTTGGGCCATCCCTGGGAAGGGTGGACGCTGCGGTCCGCCAGGCGGAGGCCCCGGCCAGAACCCGCACGGACCTGGGGACCGAAGAGCGGAGCCAGGAGCCTAGGCCCAGGAGCTCCCCCAGGCCGAAGGCATTCGGGGGGAGGCGGAGGAGGCGGTGGAGGACGTGACGCTCGGAGCGAAGGAGGTCGAGAGGAGGGGGGTAGAGCTGACAGACATAGCTCAGGACTGAGAGGATGCCGAAGTTATATACTCGGCAGCTGGCTTCTGCTGGTGTCCTGCTAAGTGCGACTTCAGCTGTGCGTCGTCGCCACTTGCGAATTGGGTCGGTCCACTGATCCGCAAGAGACGCCCCTGGTCCAAAAGCGAATCCCAAGAACGGGGTGCAGCCGCGGACATGAAAGGAAGCCCACTCGGGGGCCAGGGCAGTTATCTTCGCGCCCACACGCGCGGCAACACAGGGCGTGCATTCTTCAGCCAGTGGAACGGCGCAGCATTTCTCCGGCTGGAGCTCGAGGTTCGCGAGCGTGCGGGCGGCGGTGAAGGGTGGGACGAGCAGGGGGAGAAGTCGGATCGAGGGGAGAGTGACACCAACGTCATCCGCCGTCACACCGCACTCAGGCTCTAGCCGTGGGCACCATCGCTCGGGGTTCGGGCAGAGGGCCAGAGCTTCGGGCGACATTAGCTGAGACTGGATGCGGCGGGCGAAGGGGTCCATGGACAGGGCCCAAATCGTGCCTGAGAGGGGGCAGCCCTGGGCCACGCCAGACGACACCAGGAAGAGTGGGCGGCGGGATGCTCCACATCGGGAGTGGGCGAGAGCCCCAGAGTACAAGGCACAGATTACATTAAGAAAGCCCTTCGGGATGCGGTGACGCTCGAGCACACGCCAGAGGAAGGGTTGGGAAAGGGAGGGAAACGCAGCACGGAGGTCAAAGGAGACAAAGAGGGGGGACAGCTCAGGGTGGTGACTGGCAGCACGAGCGACCGCATCCTGACGGACGACGTGAGACAGGAAGTTCCGTCCGCGCACGAAGCCCTGCTGGCTTTCATGCACTCGTGCGGCCGCGAGTGGGGCGAGCGCATGATTCGCTGCACTAGCCACTGCCTTGGCATCACAGTTCTTGAGGCTCAGAGGTCGAAGCTTCGACGCGTGGCGGACCACCTCCACGGAGTCCGAGGGCTCGTCACCTTGGGAATGAAGACCATGTCAGCGAAATTGAAGCCATGCGGCGCGCCCCTGCCCTGGCACAAGCCAATCATCATGTCGTAGAGGATGTCCACCAGCCTTGGGTCCGCCAGCCAGGCAGCCGCAGGAAGTCGGTCAGGCCCAGGGGCAGTGGGCTTGGCACGAAGCAGCGCAGCGCGAAGAACAGCTGGGGAAGGAACCTCCAGAGCTGGGCTGTCAAACTCAGGGAGATGAGTGCGCAGGTAATCGTCGACCGCATTGATGTCGACAGGGTGATCTGTGAAGGCAGGCTGCCAGTGCTGACGCAAGCCATCCATGATCATGGTCGGGTGACGCTCGATGCCCGCCTGGTGTCCCTCACCATCCATGCGAAGACCCTTGAGCACCAGCCGGCGACGGTAAGGAATCCAAAGAAGAGCTCGCCGTTGAGCAGCACGCTGTATCTTCCGCAACTGCTGGATGGTGGGGTCGCCCGCGTCGAGCTGCAGCTGTGCGTGTTCACGAAGTCGGGCGGCCGCTGCAGCTTGCTGGCGTTCGTGCCAGGCGAGATGAAGGTCCATGCACTCTCGTTCGAATGCGGGGGGATTGACCAGCAGGATGCGGTTGTCTCCGTCGATGGTGAGGTGCAGACGGCCCATGGCAGTGGAGTGGATCAGCTTGTGCGCGAGGTGCAGGTCCTGCCTCCATATGGCTCTCGCGATCGCCCGTGTCGAAATTCTGCGGCCTTCGAGAGCTTCAGCGTGGCCATCGCCAAGAGGGAGGGCCTGGAGCTCATTGCGGGTGATGCGAGCAGCTTCAATCATCTGCAGCTTCACCTCGGCCCAGCGACTCTCCTCCGCTAGGTTCGTGAAGTCGGAATGGTTGAGCAGGTTAGTGACATGCTTGGCAAACCGCGGCGAGTGGAAGACGCTCTGGGGGATCGCACGATCGTCGGGAGCAGCCGCGGCGCGTGGCTGGATCCGCAGCTGGATGATGGCGTGATCGCTGAGACCCCAGTCCGCCAGTGAGGTCGCCTCCTGCCAGATCTCGAAGGCGATGGAGGTGTCCAGGAGGAAGTGCGATTTCAAGGAGATGAAGGCCCTGTCAATGAACGTGCATGACTGGTGGCGCTTGGAGTAGTGGGTGGGTAGCTCGCTCACCACCTCCACCATGTCCCGTTGGAAGAGGTTGCGCCAGAAGCTCTGCGCCTGGTTGCCACGGTGCCAGACCGATCGGCTGTTGCCACCAGCTCGACGGTAGTCTCCCAGAGCCATCTCCGCAGCAGGTTCCGAGGAGGAGGAGGACGAAGTAGAGGACAAGGAAGAGGAAGAAGTAGCAGACGTTCTCCGTCGCCCAGTGCCCCGTGTAGGCGCCGAAGTCGAAGCCGCGCTCGGAGAAGAGAGGTGCACCGGTTCAATGTCAGCGATATTGAAGTCCCCAATTGCGATGAAAATGCGGTGTCGTTCGTCACTTTGAGCCCATGCAGCTCCGTCAAGCCAGCGACGGCGCACGAGGGGTAGTTTGGCTGTGGGCAGCTCGTGGTTGTGGACGTTCATGATTTTGATGTGCTCGTTGTTAGTCGAATTGCTGATAGTGAGGACCGCGACGCGACCATCAATCACAGGGTCCAGGGAGAGGGAAGGGAGCAACTGTGGGTCCATCGTCGCAAGCTCCGCCTCGGAGAACCACGGGATCAGGAAGGCGAGGCCGCCAGCCCCAGGGGAGTCGCCCGCCGACATGATGGCTCGGTAGTGGTATGGAGTTTGGTTCACCAGCGTCTGCAACTTGATCTCGGACCCGTGCGCCTCCTGGACAACAATCAGCATGCGCATCTGGAGGAGCTTGCAGAGTCGCTGCATTTTGTTATTGCGGCGATGTGCGCGTTGGCAAAGGAGTCCTTGGGCATTCCACGATGCGATGCGGAGCGCCTGTGCTGCGCTGGAGCCTTGGCCCTGGGGAGCAGCCGTCACCCAGGGCGTCCAGCGTGGGCTAGGAGCAGGACCAGGTGGAGGTGTCCACCTCCGTGTTGAATGTGGTGGCCTCACAGAACTGGTCGATGATCCTCTGCCGCTCGTCGTCATTGATGTAGCGTCTGGTCTCAGGGTGCCAGTAGATCCGCGAGGGCTCGTGGAAGCCTTGGGGGACCACCTCGATGATGGGAACTGCATTGACGCTGATGATGCCCTTCGGGCGGATGGCCGTCCAGTCGCGATGATCCGTGGCGAAGGACTGCTGCAGCAAGGAGAGGAGCCTCCTGGTGTGCATTTCTCGGCGAATCTGGCGAGGAGCTTTGTCGGCTCCCACGTGTAGTGGTACCAGGCGCCCATCAGGTGTCTTGACTTGGAAGGATCTCCAGCTGCCTCCAGGGAGCCGAAGCGCGCGAGCCAATGCAAGGGCACGGGCTCCGCCGACGCCAGCATCACCCCGAACGCGCAGGAAGAAACGTTTGGACGGGACCTCCGCGCCACCGACGAGCTCCAGATATTCAGGTGCCACTGTGGAGGCACCGAACCATTCTGAGAGGCTAGCCATGACCGCGCTCCTGGCCACCATTGAGCCGCAATTGGCCGAGAAGAGAAGTGGGTCAGCTTCGCGGTCATACTCGGCCAGCTTAGCCAGGTCGGTCGCTGGGAGGGCCTTCTCCGCCATCGCCAGCTGTTCGCGGATCTCGCCGATCTGCTTGCGGAGGACAACGTTGCTCTGTTCCAGGTCGGTCTGGCGTCGCTTGAGCTGATGGATTTCATTCGATTGGTGGGCCACGTTCTTGAGCACGGGGTCGATGTAGCCAGCCATTGCGCCCACCAGCTCCTTGTGGGCGGTGGCCAGGGACTGCGTGCATATGGTGTTGAGCTGGCTGACCGTGGAGTCCATGCGGGCTTGGACCAGCTCCAGGAGGCTGTCTTGGACGGTGCTGGGCGTCCCGCACGCTGCGGCGCCAGGTGCGCAGGGCGTGGCCGTGCCGCCAGCTGGTGTGGCCGTGTCCTCCTGCGTCTCCAGCACCTGGAAGTCACGCTCGATGTCGCGTAGCTCCTGAGTGGAGAACTGTGGCACCGCAGCCGCTGCACCCCGCCAGGGATCGCATGTCTGGAGGGCATCTGGGGCAGGGGGGGCCGCTGCTGCCGCGCTGGCTGACGCCGCAGCGCCAGTGCTGCTGCCCGCACCAGCCCACTGCGGTGGGGCTGCCAGGCTGCAAGGTCCGTCGCCGCGCCGCTGACGATCACGTTCACTGCGCTCACGATGGGCAGGAGCACGTGGGGGGGGCTGGGCAGGCCGAGCAGTGGAGCCTCTGCCAGCGTCAGCCCAGGCTTTGCGCCGAGCGCGGCGGCGCGGGCGCTCCTCGCCCCCACTGCGGCTGTGCTCATCGCGATCCCCTCGACCTTCAGAAGAGCTGCCAGAGACATCAGAAGCCATGCGGAAAAACAAAGTCGTATCTGTGGAGAAGGATTCGTATTGGTAAAGGTGTGGGGCACTGGCCCAGAAGGGGGAGCTCCAGCAGCCTGTGGTGTCGGGCCGCCGCTGAGAGCCCCCCGAAGCTGACCTGGCCAGCTGCCTCGGGACATGGATTACTTGAGCCAAAATGGCTACGGAGGAGGAGGAGGAGGAGGAGGAGGAGGACCCCCTCCCCGCCGTGCGGCAGTGGCGACCTGCCCGCTCGGACCTGGCCCCGCAGTCTGCTGACGGCCGCGCAGGCAGAGGCCGCTCCGCGAAGGGCCACCCCTGCGTGTGGCCGAGGAGGACGCCAACCGCACGCCGACCACCGACTCCGGAGGAGGCTCGGGGGGCCTCTGCTCTTCGCTCGAAGTTTTCGGGCGTCTCCGTCGGCTTTCGGCGGCATTCTGGCCTCGGTTTGCGTTCCAGCAGCTGCGCTTCGCCGTGGGCGTTCCAGGGGTGCCCGAATCGTCCCCAGCGGCCGCCGGAGACCCGAGTGGGGGCCCGAACACCACACCAAGGCCAGGCGGCGACATCCGAACCCCACCCCCACCAACCATCGATCCTCCCGAATCCGCCGACCCTGTCGGCGTGTGTGAGGGGCTGTGCCGTTCGTCGTCGTCGTCGTTTCAGTGCTGTAGCGGGCTTGAGGGAAATCGACCCCTGTCGTAACTACGTCAAACGGAACGCGCCAAGCCCGTCCGTGCCCCTTTTCGATCCTCCCTCCGCCGACCCTGTCGGCGTGTGTGAGGGGCTGTGCCGTTCGTCGTCGTCGTCGTTTCAGTGCTGTAGCGGGCTTGAGGGAAATCGACCCCTGTCGTAACTACGTCAAACGGAAGCCCCGTCCCTTTGTCCCTTCCCCGGCGGGGGGGGGGGGTCCCGGGGGGGTCCCGGGGGGTTCCCTGGGGGTCCGCCGGGTCCCGCCCGGGGGGTCCCGGGGGGGTCCCGGGGGAGTCCCAGGAGGGTCCCAGGGGGGGTCCCGGGGGGGGGGGTCGCCACCCAGATACGCTTTCACTCCCCGCGCGTCCGGTGCGGTGCCCGCGCGGTTCCGGAAGCCCTGCGCGGCTTCCCAAAAATGGCCCCTGGAGGCCGAAAATGACGAAAGACTGAGCATGTAGAACAACTCCCTCCTCGTCCTCCTCCTCCTCCTCCTCCTCCACTTCCTCCTCCTGTCCTCCTCCCCATCCTTCCTCTTGTCACGTCCTACCATTCCCTCCTTCTCCTCCTCCTCCTCCTCCTCCTCCTCCTCCTCCTCCGCCTCCGCCTCCGCCTCCGCCTCCGCCTCCTCCTCATCTTCCACGGCCTCCGTCTCCGCCCGCTTCGTCGCCGACGTCGTGGTCCTCTTCAGGGTCGGCAGCTCCGGCCGTCAGGCCTTCGCAATCCACTGGAGGCGGGAATAGGGGGCGGACCTCGCCACTTGGTCGACGAGTGCCGAGCCCCACCCCCGCCACCATCGAGCTGCCTGCATCCTTGATCGCCGCCAATTATGCTTCCGGAGCTCTCTGCAGACCTCGGGCACATCCTGGGCACAGCATCGGTGCACCCCGCGCTGCGCGCCGCTCGGTGGCGCGCCCCCGCGCCGCCCCCTGGAGAAGAGCAGCCCTCCGGCCCAGAGCGCGGAGCGCGCAGCGCAAGGTAGCCTCGCGCCCACCTGAGATGAGATGGAGGGGCCCCTCGGGGGCCCCCAGACGGTGTGGCGACAACACCGCGCGGTGACCCGCAGGGGCTTCGGGGTCACCGAACGGCCCTGGGACTCGGCCCGTTCTCTCCGAGGACGTCTCGGGCGACCGGGGCCTCCGAGGTCCCAAGTTACCGGCACGGTGGCGGACCGCGCGGCGAGGTCTCTTGCAATTTCAAGGTCACCGCGGAGTCCGTCACCAACCGGTTCTGGGGCCACCGAAGCTCGTTTTCGGGGGCGGCCAAGAGGGGGGCTTCCGAGAGGGGGGCGCAAATCATGGCCGGCGGCATGTGCGCGGCCCAGGGGGGGGGGACTAGGGACGTATTGAAATAAGACAAGGCGCCATGAAATCTGGGGAGATGTCATGGCCCCCGCCATGATCTCCCCCCCCTCTTCACCCCCTCTTGGCCGCTCCCGGCGTGTACGCCCTCCTGGCCTGGCCAACGACCGGCCGGGACGGGTGCCGGCGCAGGACTCGCGTCCCCCGAGGGGGAGGGGGGGAGGGGGCCACGATCACTTGGGAGCCGCCGCCCCCCCGGCGGCAGCCCTCATGACGACGTCGAACGAGACGGCGGCCGCCTGGCCTGTCCTAGGGGGGGCCACATGCGAACCCCGCCCTCCCCCTCAGAAATCGTGGGGGGCATGGGGCAGAGCTCGCATGCGGCCCCCGACGTCCTGTGCAGGTGCTGGAAAGCGATGCGGCCCCACGAGTCGGCCCAGACCCGCGACTTGGCCGTGACGTGGGCCACGGGCCGGGCGCCGCCGAGCCGGCGCGCGGCGAGGTCCACGCCCTGCACCTCGCACCGTAGGAGGGCCTTCTGCCTGAGGCTCTTGGCCTGCACCAGCCTGCCCACCTCGGCGAGCTGCTCCTCGCCGAGCTGGGCGACGACTGTGCGGTCGGCGGTGCGCAGCTGGCCTCCGCCGCGCACCTCCAGCACCACCGCCTGCCGCTCGGGCAGCACCTCGCCCTTCTCGTCGGGCGTGTCGACGACGAAGCGGCTGATCTTGATGGGCCTGTTTTCCACCAACACCACCACCGAAAGTTGGAGGGGGAGGGGGTCCTCCGCCTCCTGCTCCTCCTCCTCCTCCTCCTCCTCCTCCTCCTCCTCCGCCTCCTCCTCCTCCTCCTCCGCCTCCTCCTCCTTCTCCTCTTCGCCCTCATCCTCCTTCCCCCCTCCAGCTTATGGTGGTGGTGGTGGAAAACAGGCCCATCAGATCTGGCGGTCCCGCCACAGCAGCACCAGGGGCGTCACCGCCTCGGACACGCTGTAGTGCCCCGCGCGGTGCAGGAACAGCAGGGAGTCCTTCGGGTAGCCTGCGTCCGAGTGGTAGGCGTGCTGCAGCGCCTCCAGGGGAGCCAGACTCAAGACGAAGCCAGGACAGCAGGAGAGCCCAGAACCGAATCGACAAGTCGGATCGGCGATCGAAATGAATCGGATCGGCGGAAATCGGCAGCGAG